AAAATTTTCAACACTCGTGTATAAACCAATGTACTGATGTTACAAAGTAAGTTGATGGCAGCTAACGACCACTTCAACTATAAATTTTCGAAGAAATTACAACAAAATACGTGTTTGAAATTAGTGATAAGTCAAACAAAATTTTCAACACTCGTGTATGAACCAATGTACTGATGTTACAAAGTAAGTTGATGGCAGCTAACGACTACTTCAACTATAAATTTTTGAAGAAATTAGAGGCGGAACAAAATTGCCAGCTTGCGACAGACTCTCGATGCTTTAATAATGTGTAAGATGAAGCCAAAATTAATGTCAAATTAAGTAGATTAATGTATTAATCAAGTGGATCAACTTTTGCTTAACTTTAATACAAGTCAATGCAAGTGAAGACGATTGTCTTTAATTATAATACTGTTCACACATATGCCATCTGCTTTTGTTATTATTTTCTCTTACATTTCAAACTTAACCAATTACTTTAATCTAGTAAATGTACTTTAACCATTTTTTAATCTTAAACTCAAGAATTTCTGTACTAAAAAATACCTAGTAAATGTCTAATAAAGAACAACTAGGGTTGGTTCAAATTAGGCAAATAATTAATTGCCCAAAATAATAATGCAAGGTTTCATTAATTCAGACACTTATTTCAAATTTGACCAATTGAGATAAAGGACAAAAGAGTAATTGTGTAAACCAGCTTTACACGGTTCTACTCTTGCAGTCTCATGTCTAAAAAAGTGTGTTTTGTAATATTTGTTAACTTTCTAGTGGTCACAACAAAAATAAACCTTTTTTGGATTGGAAATCATTATTTATGTTGGATTGTCCCATGCTTGATTCAGGTAAAAAAAAAATTAATGAAAATATAAATAAAAGTCAACCATTAATCTTAACTACATATATCATTAGACGCACACTTTTTCAACCCCACATGATCATATTCCATCAACTTTTATCACAATCTACTAAGAATTTGATTTTATCTAAGCCAAATAAGGGCTAAGTAAATTATTCAGTTAATAGATGCACTATACGTACAGAAAAAAACCCAGAAATCTTAAGGAATACACACATGGGGGTGAGCCCCATTTTTTTAAAACGATATTTAACTCACATGGGGCCCACCCCCATGTGAGTATCTGTATAATTTATGGTAAAAAAAATGTCCGTACATTCAGAAAATTTCTTGAGTTAATCTCGACTGCAGTTCGATATTAGATCTTTGTAAGTATAGAGATACATTGAGCATTCACAGTTCTATATAAAAAATTCGCTAGGCAAATTTTATCTGATCACAGAGGTGATATCGAGACGGAACCACTATAAATTCTTGCACTACTCAAGGGATATAATTGTTATCATTAGATTAGGAACTTTGGGGCTTCTTATTTGTTCAATCATTTTTCATTCATCCTACCTAACTTGGCCAAATTTGTGGAGACTTTTTGATTGTATGTTTTCGTGTACATCCTTCTTTCTCTACATAACATACACATTTTATTTTATTTTACTTTTTCTTATGGATGTGGTTATGGTCCATTATCATTGTACCTAGAGGGGGATTGATTGATACAGATATTAAAATTTCCACATGTTCATTCATTTAATTTCTTTTGACTTGTAGCTTCAATTATTTATTGTATATAAAGTAAATATTAAACATATATAATTTTCATAAAATAGATGATTACGAAATTTAAATTGCTATCACCGATTATCATGTCATCTCCATACGATGTCTAAGTGGAGGCCTAAAAATCCCGCCGCTTAGGCTCTTGTAGTGTTTTGCCGAAACAAAAAAATAAATAAATAAATAAAAACCGTTAGAAAATAGATAATATTTACTATCACTTAACTATTTTTTTAAACATGGAACAAGATTTTTAAATAATTCTGAAATAATTCAATAAACATTTTGGAGTTGGAAGCATAGGAGTAGTACTATATATGAAGGAAATGATCAACACATTTATTTATTAACACTTGAAAGAAAGTGTGAAAAAAAAAAAAAAACTTTGAAATTTCTGTGTGCGCGAAAGCACATAGTTGACTTTGTGAAGCAAACTGGTCTTTATTTTGTAATTTATATACGAGATTAAATGAAAAACACGTGGCTACCTTATTGAATGATTTGGTCTATTGGCGATAATCGTTTTCACTTTTTAATTAATTTATTTCGAAGTAATTTGGGCATACTTAAAATAAGTATCACTCATTTATAACAAAATTATGAAAAAAATAATTTTTTTACTAAATTTTTTTCATCTATATTGTAAGTAATTATATCAATATAAGGACATGTTTGGGTTGAATTAAAATCTGATTTTAATTTAAATCAAAATCAAACAATCAATATTAACTTCATCTTTCATGGGTCCCACATCTTTTCAACCACACATTTCAAAATTTTTTATTACAATCCACTAAAAATCTAATTTTAATCCCCGCCAAACACCCTCTAAATTGATAACAAGTAGACATTTTTTCGATTATAATTTTGATGGATAACAAAAGGTAATTATTTATGAAATCATTAGCATATCAACTAATAAACCTTAGTGACTTTCCTAAGTAGTATCATTTTTAACGTAAAATATTCAGAGAAAGGTTGTTTCTTATGTAGTAAACAAAATCCATATTTGTCTATTACCCAAAGATTTTGCATTTCGTTTTCAATTACAATAATTGCATTTCCAACTAATTATGTAGATCACAATTTGAGTGTGTGACTGGGTCAATGCTTGAGTCCCATCTCATTAAGAATACATTTATAGTAAAAATTGATTTTATTAGAGAATGTATGATTAAAAGTATCGGTGGATTCAGAACTTGGCAAGCACCCGCGGCCGTCGGTGCTGGATTTGTCAGTATTATTATTATTATTTTTTTTTTTGTCAATGTATATATTAGTTTGGATATATATATATAAGTGAGAAGTCTTGAGTTTGACTATCTACAAGAGCAATCATTTATTTAGTTATTTTTAGCTCAATATTTTCCTTCATTTTGAAGCATTGTTATTAAAATCAATGCAATGGAAAAGATTAGACTCTCTACAAGTGGAGGTCACGAGTTCAACTCTTTACAAGAACAATCGTTTATTTAGATGTTTTGAAAAATAAAAAAGGGATGAATTGGGTCCCATCAGATCTAAACAACATATTTCTACAACTATGAAAAGGAAATTTCAGATCTCACATAGCCAAACGACGGAATGGAAAGACATATCATTAGCTCCCGAGGTATTATAAAATGAGACCAATTGGTTTTTCCTCAATAACCGAATATTTTTGCCTTTCAGCTTGATCTTAGGCCTTGACTCCCTCTCCGCGAAATGGGAGCAGCCTAAACAGTGAAAACCAACGTTTTTGAACTATAGTTGTAACTCACTAGTAACTGTCGTCGGAGTTGAGATCTTTCTCTTTGATCACAAAAATGTAATTTTGTAGGGAATTCATAACTTTTTACTACTGTTTTATCACATATTCTCCAAAAAAGGTCATGTCAAAAAATCTAAATAAAACGTCCTTCATCTCCTAGAGATTATCCGACTTAAAACACAAGGACAGTAGCTACAGTTGTTCCACATGGATGGCTAAGTCAACAATTGTCCAGCAAAATATCTATTTCATAGGAAGTGTATACGACTGACTAATTTGGATCGCTTTCTTGTGCATTGTAAATGATCCATTTTTATTAACATGATTAATTATAAAATCCTAGCATGCATATCATCATGTCAAATAATAAAATCAAGTAATACCTAGCTATAGGGACTTTTTTAAACATCTAAATTTGACAATGGGGCTAAGACTTGGCTCTCCAACTAACAATTATATATGCAAGTATGACCAATCATTTTCAGTTCTGAATTGTATGCCATTAGTCTCTGTACAAATTCGGTAAAAAAATTTCTGTACTTAGATCATTTTTCTCTTTCAATCACTCTATAGGTACAGAATTTTTTTTACAGAATTTGTACCGAATACACACAACACATGGGTCCCATTGTTTTTAACAATANTTCGGTAAAAAAATTTCTGTACTTAGATCATTTTTCTCTTTGGATTCTGTGAGAAATTAAGAGACAGAAAAGACCTAGTAATTAAGGCTAAGAGTGAGAGTTTCTTCTTGAAATAATTGAATTTAAGAGTCTCACAAATATATATAACCTTGTTGTCCAATAGATTAACAAGTCTTGTATAAGCAAAGAAATCCTCAAAATCTTTCAGAAAAAGAGATCTAGAGAGAGAAGTGGAGAGACACAGAAGAGAGAGAGATGGGAAGAGCCCCATGTTGTGACAAGGCTAATGTGAAGAAGGGACCATGGTCACCTGAAGAAGATGCAAAGCTAAAGAACTACATAGAGAATCATGGCACTGGAGGAAATTGGATTGCTCTCCCACAAAAAGCTGGTATATATTTATGGGCCTTTTTCCAGTAAATTTCTTGTTTTCTGTATACTTTGTTATTTTGAATTGCTGATCAGTGGTGTTGATTTTGCATCTTTAGGGCTCAAAAGATGTGGAAAAAGTTGCAGACTGAGATGGCTCAACTATCTTAGACCAAATATTAAGCATGGAGAATTCTCTGATGATGAAGATAGAATAATTTGCAGCCTCTTTACCTGCATTGGTAGCAGGTATAATCCCTTCTTATCTCATTATTTATTTTGTTTTTTCCCATAGCCTGATCTTTTGATCCAGTTGATCTCTCTTAGAACAGTACACTACATGTATAAATCTTTTTTCACCACTCGCTGGGTTCCTCTAAAGATCTAAAACAGTAAGTTCATGTTGCTGACGATGTTAGCTAGATTTGGTGTACCCTCCATCTCCTAACTTGTTCTACCTAGAGTGCATCTCAATCTTCTCATTTTGTTGCCATATTAGATCTCTGGTGCATTTGCTCATAATATTCAAAGTTCAAATTTAATTATGACTTCTTATGGTTGAGGAACTAATTATCACTATCCAAAAAATCAAAATGCAGATGGTCAATTATAGCAGCTCATTTACCAGGCAGAACTGACAATGATATAAAAAACTATTGGAACACCAAGCTCAAGAAGAAACTCATGGAGATGGCTACATTTGCTCATCAGAGAAGGCCTCATCATGGTGCAATCTATCCCACAACAGCTAATTCATTTCTTCAAAATCCATCACTTCAGCCACAGACATCAGCATATCACTCTACAAACAACAACTGCTATACCACTACTCCAGCTAGGGTTTTTACTGGGGGCTATGAATACATGTCCAACATCCCTTCAAATCTCTTGGAAAACACCTCCAGTTTTACCACTTGTTCTACAAACTCTAGTACTCCTACAGTGTTCCAAACACAAGAAGGACACGGGACGGGGCTCGTGCAAAATTATCAAGTCAAAGATAATTACAATAATCTTCTCATCTTTGGAAATGAAGCCAGTTGCAGTTCATCTGATGGAAGTGGGGTTGATGAAGATTTAGGTTTGCTAAGCTATTTTGGAAGTGGTGTTGATGAAAATCAGAAGTTTACTCTTCCTGCTAATGGATATGCTGATGATCAAAACAAGGCAACAAATGGGCGTTTTAATGAAAATCCATTAGATTACAGTATTGAGGAGATTAACCAGCTGATTAGCACTAATAACATCTGCAATAATCTCAATTATTCTGTGGATGAAATCAAGACAGAAGAACAAGTCTTGTACTACTGATCATCATAATTGATTTGATTCTTACTGAATCAGAAGAAACTCAAGAGTGAAGTCTTGTTCATCAGTACTTGAAGATTCATGCAATTAGATGGCTTTGTGGATTTTTATGTAAAAACACCTTTTTGATAGTACATGATCGAAGTTTCCTTTTTTGCATTTCTTTTTGTGAACTTTGGAGTACTGTCTTCTTAACTGCGTCCCTTCAGAGATGAATCATGAATGTCATGGAGCACTTATTCCTGAACTCAAGCTCCAAATTTCAATGCATTATTTTGAATTAAATATAAATGTTTAATTTATCTTTCTGATTTAATTATTCATAGTTACGACAAAGTTTTATCATCCAATTTCTTAATTGCCTTGATGTTAATCTTAATCACGGTCTTTATCTTCTTATATTTTAACACTACTATTGTTAATGATTTGACACGCCACGAGTCGAAAATTGCAACTTGTCCTTATAACCATTGGTGTGTATATATATATACTTTTATCGTATAATAAAATAATGGAAAAGTTACACGACTTGTGGCAAGTGTAGCCCAATAATCTTGATGATAACTTAAAAATTTCTTTACTTGTTTGATAAGGTAGATTCTATAGTTATGCTTGTTGACCCCGAAAATGTTGCCAACAGATGCTGGACCCACTCGTGCACACGTAAGCTTGATCCAACACGTTAATGCCGATCAACGATCAAGAAGTTTCCAGAAACTGAACGTGGGAGTAGCTCAATGACACGAGACGTCTCCGTTCGAGCTTCCGACAAGATAAATGTAACATGATTGCATAAAAAACCAATCGATAAAGAACAAGATTTGTGGTAGAAATACACTGTTAAACGNCTTGATCCATCACGTTAATGCCAATCAACGGTCAAGATAACTCCAGAAACCGAACGTTGGAGTAGCTCAATGACACGAGACGTCTCCGTTCGGGCTTCCGACAAGATAAATGTAACATGATTGCATAAAAAACCAATCGATAAAGAACAAGATTTGTGGTAGAAATACTCTGTTAAACGAGAGAGAGAGGAGAAAATTATATTGCTTCAAATATTTGAAATTTCATTAACCCTTTCTGTTATATGGTGTGAGTGTTTATAGTGTTACAAATGAAATAAAGACATTTGGATCAATTTACACGTGGCACCATCTTCTCGGTCAAGACATCAAGTCATAGCCATCAAGTTGACTCTTCTAGCCTTACAAGACATTAAATACTCTTACACTGACAAGACAATACACAAATAAACTTTTACACAAGTCACGTCAATCATTCAAANAATTTACACGAGGCACCATCTCCTCGGCCAAGACGTTTACACAAATAATCTTTTACATAAGTCACATCAATATTTCATATAGAGATTTTCATCATGAGTGAATCTTCACACTTGGTCAACAGCTATTAAAGAGCCTCAGGTCCGTGGTCGTGCCATGAGCCTCGTAGCAGGGCCTCGGAATAACCTAAGGCCTCGGTTGACACGTCGAGGCCAGGAAAACATACCCTGATTCCATTGAGCTGGTCCCACCATTCAAATAAGATGCCACGTGGTGATTATATATATAGAAATAGTAACAATAGTCACTCAAGTCTATGAGTGGTTATTTATACCATGCGTGGGCTTTTGAGAAGTTATTTAATGCATAAGGTTAACGAAGTTGCCTTTAAAGCCGAAGTTCTTTTGAAGCAGAGGTGAGTTCATATTCGAATTGGTCAAGGTTGATTTCCTTTGGAGCTGGGAGCCGAGGCTGATTTCCTTTTAAAGCAGATGCGAGTTCATATTCTAACTAGCCGATGCTGATTTCCTTTGGAGCTGGGAGCCGAGGCTGATTTCCTTTTGAAGCAGAGGCAAGTTTATATTCGAACTAGTCGAGGCTGATTTTTTTTTAAAGCATATGCAAGTTCATATTCGAGCTGGAGGAGACTGATTTTCCTTTAAGGCGAGGCAAGTTCACATAGACATTAGTGCTTGTGACATGACGGTTCCGCATGTTTCCGAGATAAGTTGGCTGCCTCGAAACAATTTTCAATAACCGTACAGCCGTTTGTATTTAATGCATCATGATGGCTAATTATTAGGACGCATGGTGTTGGGAAAAATTTCACGCGCCAAGCCATGCTAGTACACACATGCATTAATCTGAGGCTTTGAAGATATGAATCGTTCGANCATGCGTTGACTTTTAAGAAGTTATTTAATGCATAATGTTAACGAAGTTGCCTTTAAAGCTGAAGTTCTTTTGAAGCAGAGGTGAGTTCATATTCGAACTGGTCAAGGTTGATTTCCTTTGGAGCTGGGAGCCGAGGCTGATTTCCTTTTAAAGCAGATGCGAGTTCATATTCGAACTAGCCGATGCTGATTTCCTTTGGAGTTGGGAGCCGAGGCTAATTTCCTTTTGAAGCAGAGGCAAGTTCATATTCGAACTAGTCGAGGCTGATTTTTTTTTAAAGCAGATGCGAGTTCATATTCGAGCTGGAGGAGGCTGATTTTCCTTTAAGGCGAGGCGAGTTCACATAGACATTAGTGCTTGTGACATGACGGTTCCGCATGTTTCCAAGATAAGTTGGCTACCTCGAAACGATTTTCAATAACCGTACAGCCATTTGTATTTAATGCATCATGATGGCTAATTATTAAGACGCATGGTGTTGGGAAAAAGTTCACGCACCAAGCCATGTTGGTACACACACGCATTAATCTGGGGCTTTGAAGATATGAATCGTTCGA